CCATGATCTGGCATCATCCATTGATCCCAAATCACTGATCAAAGTTTATAGCGGGAAAATAACATTATGTTCTGACAAAACAAGCTGCTGCTATTTTTCCCATTAGCTCCTTTCTTTATTGTTGTGGTAGAAGGTAGAGTTATTCTCAAGAATAAAATGTAGAAGACCCTTTCCACTCTTCGTGCAATTTCTTTTGTTTTGTCAGAGACAACAGTTCGCTTATGAGCCCTTTGACTAATCCATACTGTCAAATATTTGACTTAGATGGCACCAGTTGACTGTATCTCCGTCACTACCATCAAAGCCTTCCCCCAGCAGGATCTCACCTGCCAGATAAAATGTCCATATTTTACATCATACACTTCAATGGTTAGTCCTTTCTCTGAACCCTCGTAGAGATTCCAAGATCTTTACTTTGGGGCATAAATGTATTAAAAGCATCAAGAGAACCTAACACCCTTTGTATATTTTTCTCTAATTTATTCCAAATTCATCCTAATACCATATTAAATTTTCTATTATTGTCTCCTTAAATCTTCAAATGTTCATTCTTCCATCAAATAGTTTCATTGTGATAACACTACACTTAATGTGTAACTTTTACATTCACTTTTATTAGTTTGCCCTGAGGTGTGTGTATCCAATGCCATTCTGAATACAGAATAACATTCTGAACTTGAGACTGTTTAATCTGAGAATAGCATATCCACTGTACATGTTCTGCCAGCTGCTCTTGTTTAGTCCAGAGTGTTGGGACACTGGGTTGAAAAGGCTTCTGCGGTCCCATCAAAGCTCTGTGGCAGTAAGTGTCACGGAAACATCTGTCAAAGGAGGGATGCAGAAAAGGCGTGCGTGCCAGAAGCTTTCATCCTAGACTGAACATAGGATTCTGTTTCACTTTTTACAGATACTGTTTAGCCAGCTCCAGATAGTTAGCTGTCTTTGACAAATAATAGCAGGTGGTGTTGATCACGTTCACCTTGTCTGTGAACAAACACAAAACCCCTGCACCCCACCTCTAGGTTGATGTGGCATTCATTTTCCTTAGTTAGACCATCGTTGTTAGGAAGTGTCCAAAGAACTCCCTGGAAGCAAGAGTTTCATTGAGGGGAGACTCTATATAATCTCGAGGGAAAGCAATGGGCATATCATCACAGGGTTGTCAGCTTCCTGCAAGGCTATAGAGGGAAGAATCTGTATACTATTGCGTGGCAAAGAGCAGAGGAGGAGGCCACGGACTGAAGAGTCTCCTGTCTTTTCTTTCGAAATGAATGACAGCTACACACAATCCAAATATATATTCTTTCAGTTTTAAATTAAAAGATGGTCAGGGGGAGATAAATTGCTCCTTCGTAAATTAGATCATGTGCTTCATGAAGTATGGTTCATATACTCTACCTTTAGCCAGCGAGTATTAGTAACACTGAGAAGGATTTTTGAGATCCAAAAGGAAAAGGATTGCTTCATTGAAAGTGTCCTCGCTCTTACGGTTGTGTTGTTAGCACGACCCCTCTGAGAGCCTCTCTCAAAGCACTGCCCTGCACTGAGCTTCCTTCCACTCGTCTGGGAGAAACTACGATTTCCTTTATCAAGGTGCCTAACACACTCTGCACATTTTGATAACAAAGCAATGCTCATACATTATTTTCATCATGTGATTACATTACGATCAGTCCCACTAGAACTCAGTTCACAAAGGCAAAACTTTTTTCTGAATCAACTTTTGATCCTCAGTACATGAAATAATGCTTTGCATGGGGTAAGCCCTTATTAAATATATTTCAGTGAGTAAATGTAATCATTAGCATTATTGTTAAAGGAAGAAATGGTGAACTTGACAGACTGAAGCTGAGCAGGCAGAATTTCCAAAAGCAATAGGTGCCAATTTTACTTTTTAGATTTTTTTTTTAACCATAGACAGAATGGAAGTCAAAGGAAATAATTCTGAAGGGACTTGGGGGTGATAGGTAGGGGAGTTGGGTATATACTATGGCAAAAGCAAGCAAAACATCAACAATACCTGAAACTGAAATGTTGGTTTTAGGTTTAAACTTGGATATAAGAATAACTGTTTTCATGCAGTTTTTATTTATTGTAATACCTTTCTCTCAGGAGGAGATATTAACAAGTGCCAAAGACTATTATAAAGATAGAGTTACCATAAATAATAACTTAGTATATACCTCCTTTACATACGCTATCATATTAAACTCTAACAGTACTGTGATCTTGGTATTTCTATCTCTTCTTATTATTATAGCTAAAGAAATAGTATCCAAAATAACAATACATTTTGCTCAAAGGCCCTAGTCAATAAGTAGCAGAATCAGTATTTAGACTCATCTTCCTTATTACACAGGTTCTGAACTGAAATGGAGTACTATGCAGCTGTAAGAAAGAAAGATCTCTTATCCTTTGAGACGACATGGAGGGACCTGGAGAATATTATCCTAAGTGAAACAAGCCAAGCAGAGAAAGACAAATATCATATGATCTCATTTATTTTTGGAATATAATGAACATGACAGTCTGAAGAACAGGGTAGGCCCAGAGACGTGGAAGTAGGGTACAGACTGACAATCCTCAGAAGGGGGCATGGTGGGGGAGGAAGAGATAAACCACAGAACTTATATGCATGTACACATAACCGATGGACATGGACAACAAAGCTGGAGACAGAGTGGAGTGGGGGAGGGGAGGAGAGTGTCAATGAGAAACAAAGGAGAAACATCTGTAACAACAATAAATTAATAAAAAAAGAAAAGAATTTTTCAGGTAGTATCGGGACTTCTCCATTGAAACACATTAAAAAAGCTTTCTTGGTTTTAAGTATCTTAATAAGTCCTTTTGGTATAGGGAGTTTTATACTTCTAAAAACTTGACTCTACTTCACATTTGGCTAATTCACGTTTCCCCTCATAATAAAACAGTTTGGAAGAGAGATGCAAATCATCTTAGTGGCATGTCAAAGTGGTAGCAAGCTCAGGCTTTGAAAGCAGATGGACCGGGTTCCAATCTGCCATTCTTATCACACCTCATTTACCGTTGGCAGGAGTTTCTCCGTGGGACTCTAACCTTCTTTTTTCTGCTCTTTGTACCAATTACCTTCTCCAAGATGTCTGTATAGCAAATAGACTTGAGGAATAGAAATGGTGCCTTCCACCAGATTGCAGGGCAAGTTGGCCTACAGGCTCGGGAGGCAGAGAGAGTCTCCCTCCAGAACAAAGGGCAGACGTGGCCACTGTAAAGGATTCCATTTCCCTAAATTCATGATTCCTCTCCTCTCATGCCACCAACTACACGTGAAGGCATCTCACATTCTTCATATCATTCTATGAGAATCGGGGCTTGAAGAACTGACACCAGTGTTGATACATTCGCTCCTAACGCTTCTGTGAAGAACGAACTCTCCTTTGTTTCTGACCCCAATGTTTTGTGTCTTCTATCACCACTCAAGTAACTGTGGCAGAGAAACTTGTTAACTTGCAGGTTAAATAAAATATAATACTCTTGATAGCTTTTGACATTTACCAAGTAACCCTGAACCTCACTTTCCTATGTTGTGAAATTTAAAAGTGATTGTGCTTATAATTTCTTTGTTCACTATAAGTGCACAAGTAAATGGTAGCTGATAGTGATCATAGAAATAGCACCAGCAGCGGCAGACACGGCAGTAGTTATAACAGTAATAGCAGTAGTACTATTACTAGCAGCAGCATCAAAGGGAGCTGACATTGAAAGATTGTCATATATGGCAGATAATTTACTAAGTGGCAGGTATAGGCTATCTTATTTAATCCTCATAAGAACTGAGCAGGTGGGGTTTTTTCCCTCCTCTTACTGGTTAAATGAGATAAATGTGAGATAAATCTCACAGAGCTGATGATTTGCCTGACTTAACTCACTTGGTAAAGGTCAAAGCTGGGATAAGAAGCTAGCTGTGTTTGATTTCCAAGTGTTTCTCTTGCATGCCTTCATCACGCGTTTGAGAGGGAGCTACAAAGTAATTTAGATGAGCAGTTAAACATTCCTACACCCCATCTGCAGAGGAATCACTGAAGCATATGTCAAAAGACAAATGAGACATAACTCTTTTTTTTGTTAGAAAATATAAAGCCTAGCCCTGGCCAGTTTGGCCTAGCGGTTAGAACGTCGGCTGGCGGACCGGGTTCAGTTCCCACTAAGGGCACGTACCTAGGTTGCAGTTTGTTCCTGGCCCTGTTGGGGTCGTGTGAGTGGCAACCACTCGATGTGTCCTTTTCATGTCCATGTTTCTCTCTCTCTCTCTCTCTCTCTCTCTTCATCCCTCTTCCCTCCCGCTTTATCTGAAGATAAATGCAAAAAAAAAAAAAAAAAAAAATGTCCCCGGGTGAGGATAAAAAAAAAAAAAGAAAATATAAAGCCCAGAGAGAAAACAATGGCAGTCTCCAGTATTTCTATGGGCATGATTCACCCACAAATTAAGCTAATGTTAACATGTTCTATCGTCTAGTCTCTGTATTTTGAACCTTTGTCCACATTACTCTATTATTGTTTTTCCCATAATACAAATCATGTTCATCAGTATTGATAAGAAACTATACAGCATTGTTAATTTCACAATTTTCCACGCTAAATTCTCTGCCAGAAATCTTTAAAAGATTCACAAATCCAGTCAATATTTCAAAATTAATAAAAACATGATTTTGACAGTCTAATTAAATTTCTAAACATCATAACATAAATTCCATACATATGTATATAATTATAAATATGTATATTTTACTCTCATTTTACAAATGAAGTCCTAACTTAGCAAGCATTTTTCTAAACTTGTCATGTAGTATATGACACACACACATATATATACTTTTTAAAGCTTCAATTATTATAAAAGGAACAATTGCCAAATGTGAATCATGTTTTGCAAATACTATCAGATTACTACTCCTATTTTTAAGAAGTTTTTATTATGTCAAATATTCAAGCAGCAAAAAAATTAACATGGTATTTCTCCTTACCTCTGCAGATGGGTACAGGAAAGTCCCACGAGGCTGTAGTCACTGAATTGGCTGTACAGGTGAGCTGAGGGTGGCCATCGAGGATATAGCCAGTTACACAGCTGTAGCGGATCTTGTCCCCAACATCAAACCTCGTACCGTATAATACGCCTTTGGGCGGGACTCCTGGGTTTCCGCAGGAGCTACTCTGCAATTCTGCAGGAGACAGGGAAAGAAGAGTTTACAGTTATTTTAATATACATCTTAATGTTTCAGATTTACAAAAATGTGGATACAGATGTAGCCTATCCTTTTAAGAAGGGTCACCAAAAAAGTATGCCATTTAGATACATGTAACAGAGAATATTGGGAAGGGAACATTTTACTGAACAAATGTCATCTTTTTGTCATAAAAACTATAGATATTTTATACTATTTCATCTTTGTAGCAATTCTAAATTCAGTATTATTTATATTATACTGATATTAAAACAGATGAATAATTTCAAAGTTACATTCTACTAACATAGTAAGAAGCAAATCAAGTATCATTAATATGCTCCCCTTACTCTTATAATTGTTCTTAAGCCTAAACCATGAGCATTCATCTAAAAAAATAGAGTTGGATGGAAACTTTATTTCACTTAAATGAGAAAAATATAGTGCTGTAAAAATGGACATATTTTTGAAGTTAGAGATTGCTCTAGAAATATAATAAAATATAATAAATATAATGAAAGTTATAATAATAAGTATATGAAGTTGTGAAGTTTTAATTACATCAATATGCAAAATATCTAGAAAATGTCTGCTATATCAGAATACTTTACCTACTGTCTTATTTTATTAATTGATGCTTAAAAGTATATAAGTATACAAAAATGAAAAAAATTTCATCTAATGTACATTTCAGAGAAAAATTCACATTAAAGTTAAAATATTAGAAAAAAATTTATAGAACAGAATAATGAGGCTAGAGGAGAATGTTTTTCCTTATATTATTTTCTAAATACTCTAATTTACAAACATATCACTTTCATACTATAAATAATAATCAGTTCGAATATAAAAGGTAATGAATCAACAGGCTAAAAAGTATTACAGTTTGAGCCCTGACCAGTTAGAGCATCAGCCCGTGGACCAGAGAGTCCCAGGTTCAGTTCCCACTAAGGGCATGTACCTTGGTTGCAGTTTGTCCCCTGGTTGGGGTTGTGTGGGTGGCAACCAGTCAATGCATCTCTCACATCAATGTTTCTCTCTCTCTTCCTTCCTCTCTCCCTCTCACTCTATCTGAAGATAAGTGCAAAAATATCCTCAAGTGAAGATTAAAAAAAAAAAGTATTACAGTTTGAGTAAAGACCAAAGTTTAGTCCGGCTGGTGTGGCTCAGTGGTTGAGCATCGACCCATGCACCAGAGAAGTTGCTGGTCAATTCCCAGTCAGGACACATGCCTGGGTTGCAGGCCAGATCCCCAGTAGGGGGCATGCAGGAGGTGGCCAATGGATGTTCTCTCTCATCGATGTTTCTCTCTCTCTCTCCCTCTTACTTCCTCTCTCTCTCAAATCAATAAAAAATAAATTTTTTTTTAAAGACTAAAGTTTAGTTAATAGTAATATGCAAATGTTAATTTTCTAGGTTGACAATCATGCTATGGTTACATATGTTATTAATATTAAGGAAAGCTGGATAAAAATAGATGAGAACTCTGTACTGTTCTCAAAAATTACCTGAAAATATAAAATTACTGCAAAATAAAAGCCTAAAAAAGATATTGCCAGGCCAAATGAAATATGTTTCCATTTTGCCTTGATATTCATTCCATTTGTGAAGTTAGTAAATTTCATGCAATATTATTTTATTTTAAACCAAATAGTTATAAATATAATAAATGAACTACTGTGATACTGAAAATATCAATAACAATATTAGGTAAAAATATCACAATTAAAAATCTTTCATAATATGAGGTTGCAACTTTACAAAAGTAATGGTCATTTATTGATTAGAAAGAAATGTATACAAAACTGAAATTTTGTATTTTTGTCTATCATAGGTTTTTAGTTCTTTTGGGGATGTTTCTTTTTGGAGTCAAACCTAGAAAAGAACATAGTTAATATCAATTAAATATCAATGGTTTTTGTAAATAGGCAATTTCCTTAAGCTTCCTCAGCTTTTAATGAACATCATCCACAACAAAGTACCTAAAACCAAAATGGAACACAAATGAAGTGAGTGAATGAATGAATGAATAAATAATAACACTGGTTGAAATCTTAATGATTTACCCTAATCTATCCCTTGCCTTGTGGCTGAATGATTTCTAAACCAACAGACAGATAAGAATTTAGGCTGTTTCAAATGAAACTAGAAGATCATTCAAAAACTTATCTTGTTCTCACCATCAGATAATTCCTGCTTTTGATTACCCTTGTTTTTTACCTTCATAAGTAAGAACAACTACCCATCATCCTCTGTACACTGAGTAACCCATGAAGACAGTTAGTGAGATGCTTCACATTCAGGATTAATAGATTCTAATTCCACATCCATTGCGCGTGGATTCTGGTCTTAGTCCGCTTCCAGCCCTTTGATTTGAAATATCTCTTTAAGCTCCCCCTGTCCATTTGAAATTGCAGTGCCAAGAAGGATGTGTTATTAACTGGAATTACTTAACCCACCATCAAAAAATGCCTTATTCTGATTGATTTAATCTTGATTAAAAAAAATAATGCTGCATATCTGAACTTTTTAATTAAATTAACTTTATTAATATGAGTTTCAGAATAGTTAAGTTAGACAAATTTTTAGGCAATGTCTCCACCAGCTATCAGAAGTTTAAATTTCATAAATCAGACAGAGAATGACAAATAGCATATGATTTCACTTATATGTGGAATGTAATAAAGTAAACAATAGAAACAGACTCAGATATACAGAGAACAGACTGACAGTGTCAGAGGGGAGAGGGGTTGGGTGGCTGAGTGAAGAAGGTGAAAGGTTTAAGCAGTAGTTATAGAATAGGCTGCATAGGGAATATAGTCAATAATGTCATCATAATGATGCATGGGACCAGGTGGGTACTTGACGCAGTGGGGGGAACCACTCTGTAAAAGTAAATATTTTCTAACCACTTTGCTGCACATCTGAACTAACACAGAATAATACTGAATGTAAACTGTAACTGAAAAAATAAAATAAAATAAATAAGTTTGAATTTCAAGGGGAAATGAAGACATACCCTACCATGTTCAGTAAAACAGATTATAAATGAATCATTATTATGCACGTTATTTACAATAAGTATTGGTTTTAACTATTATAAAATCATTATGAAGAAAATAGAGTTTTAAGCAATAAAATGAAGAACTCTAATAGAATTCATCAAATGTACATGCAAGATAACCACACTGTGTTTGTAATTTCAATTTATTTCTGAAGCAAATAATTACATCTAAAAGCAAAATTGTTGCACAGACTGTTTTCTTCTTTTATCAAAGATATTAATAATATATTGATCAAAGTTTTAGTGAGTAATAAAACAATTATGAAAATTGTAAATCTTATTTGATATTTATTCTGTAAGCAAGGATTAAAATCGGGTTGGAATGTAACTGTTGCTGAACATTGATTTAATGTTTTAATGCTATACACACACACAACACACACATACACATATCTATCATCTATCTATATCTGTCTGTCTATCTATCATCTATCTATCTATCTATCTATCTATCTATCTATCTATCTATCTATCTATCTATCATCTATCTATCTATCTATTGAGAGAGAGACATGTATATAGATATATATGAGAAACTCCCCATGTACTGCAGCATTATTTGAATTAATTCTTAGGATCTATCACATGAGATAAAGTTTATAGATAAAACAGAAATACTTAGTGAACTGAGAAATCACTGGAAAATGTGTCCAAAGACTTTACATTCGAAATCTCTCTCTGAAAATGGCAGACCCTTTATGTCCGCTTAGTGCTCTACCCATAGCAAATGACTGAGTCAATTAAAACTCATCTGCTTTTTGTTTTGGTTTTGTTTTTGCTGAAGAAATATGCATGTTATTTTTTCTCTCTTCTCAAAAGTATTGAAATTATCAGCAAATAATAGGAAGGCCTCTGGGCAACATAAACTACTCTAAAGGTCAAGTATTGTTGCCGCAGCAAAAATTTACTTGGAAAAGACCCAAGAAAATAAGAATCCCATTGTGTTATAGAGGTTATAGTTTAGTGACTCTTGTCAATATTAGTTAGAAGAAAACATACTTAATCACTAGGTAAATGATACAACTAATTTATTAATTAGAAGCTCTTGAGGGTTACTATTAACATTGCTCTGTGATGTGCACAAGTCAAAGCAACACCACCTCCTTTGCTTTTTAAGAGTGTTCAATTTAAGAAAAGTAATAGTCTTACTTTAATTATTGAGGTCAACTTTGTGCTATACTGATTTGGCACATAGACATTCATATTCCCACTTACATCTCACAAAATACCCAACAACATATACAATTTCCCCATTGTACAGAAAGAATATCTTGAGACTAGGTAAATTAAATACTTTTCCCAAGCCCCCCAAACTTATAAATAGACTTGTGGTCCAAGCTTAGATGTTTCTAAGTTAAAAGTCTCAGATCATTTTAAAATTGCATGCTGTTATTACCCATAAAAAGCAGATATTCTCTCTATAGATGTTTATTTAGCAGCTGTCATGGGCAATACTCTGAGGAAATAAGTTTACAAATGACACACATGACCCTGCCCTGATGGAGTTTATAACCTGGTGTTGGCACAGGCAACAAAGAATTGATTGCAGAATATTAATTATAATGTGACAAGTGAGATAAACAAACATATAAGCTATAACTGAAAAAATTAATCAGTGTTGTTTAAGAGGAAGACTGAAAAGAATTTCATGATGAAGTAAGGTTTAAATTGAGATCAGAAATAGGATAAGGAGTTAGCTGGATAAATAAAAAGAGTTAAGTATATTCAAAATTTTAAAATATAAGAATCAAAATACTATAATAGTTATTAGATTTAGCAAAATAGTGAATACAGGTTTATGAATGTGATAGGGTAGAAAATAAATTCAGGGGAAAAATTCCAAAATGGTTGACCAAAGTTAGGTATATGTAGTTAATGTACATACTATGTATAGGCTTATGAATAGAAAGGGGAACTATTATTATTAAATACT